AGCGCTTTGGAAAGGCATGCAACAAATGGAAAAATCCCATTTTCGGTCTTACACACACACACACAGCGAACGTTTCGTGCGTATATTCGAATACTTGATACTTTATAGACGAATAATTTATGAATTACCGATAACGATAAGACCTTTTGCACGTTATTTCGTCGATACGCGAACTGATAATTTGTGGAAATTACTATAAACGGTGCTTCTGATGCATACACAAAACGCGTTGAGTACATCATTTTTCAAAAGAATGAAACAACCCTCTTAATCAAGTCCTTTCGCTCACTTCATTTACAAATGTTTTGCAGTTCCGCTTGAGAAGGGGTCAATATTTTCCGTCATTATTACCATCGCATCTATCATCATTACGGTCAATTCTTTGGGCAGTGAATGAACTCGTCGCGTTTTCATTGAATTTCTTGTATCAATGGATGCGACTTGTATCAATGGATATCAATTAAATTTCAATTATCTTCGTTCGATCTTAAGCACGAAACACAGCACGAACCAATTTATGGCCATATTTCGGCCATTTGTATGTTTCTTTTCCGTTCCAAGTTAATCTGTTGGATAATGGCATACAAATTATTGCATGGTGACGCACTTTTAGATCGTCGGCACGTTCATAAAACAAACTTCGATGGTAACTTTTGACTAATTAAATCGTCAACATGAACAAACGCTGCTGAATGACAGGCAACATATTGGATGATGAACGAGGGAGCGTCGGTTTTCCGTTTTTTTTTAATTGACTGAATTCTGTTTGAATTCGTGTTATCATACCGCTTAGAGTAATGAATGTAGTAATTAAACCCTCTGGTCAACACGAACCGACTTCTTATGTGAAAAAGATGGAAATGAAACAAGTACTTAGTTTGGTCATTTATTTTCGGCTTCATTCAACGCCTACAGACAATATGCTTGACGTGCAAAACAAAACAATGATGTAAATGTGTCGTCCACAATAATTTCAATCAAATATTATTACCAAATTTGTGTCAAAATCAATATCCATCCTGAAGACACGTGTAAAAAGTGCAAAAAGCATTTTTTCAGAACAACTTTCCTATAGAACATTGGGTATTACTAATAATTTGTGCCATTGAGCATATTCTGCAGTTCCTCGTGGATCTGTTCAAATTGAATCAAGATAATAAAATAGACTACAGACGCAGCTATCCACTGAAAAGACAAATACATCCATAATTAAGCAATTTGTATTCAAATTACACTTTTTCCCAGAAACTCATAGCGTCTCCCAAATGTAATTACGACCAATAATAACACTATTACATACTGAAGTGATTAGGTTGAGGTTGATGTTGAAAAACCCTCTTGCCGATATGAAAAACCGTTGGTGATGCACTTGCAGGGCAAATTCACGAATCAAATCGATGTGAGCTTGGCTCTTTCTGACACATGGAATCCGATGGAGATTTACTTCAACAAGACGACTCTAGTATGAAAAGTCATCAACTTTAGAATAAAGCTTAATGTTGTTATTAAATGAATTTATTACGTATTGAAAACATGAAGAACAATAGAATGCTAGTGTGCCGAGTAGTAGAATGTCTGGTACCAATAAGTTGATGGAGCGACCTTTGAAGTATTCCAAACGTAAATATCCCCAATAACAATTGGCTATAGTGTCAACAAAGGATTGCGTAGTGATTATCAATAGAGACCATCCGAATGCTTTGTTGATTAATTGACACGATTCGTTTAAGCATCCATAGATTTGTTTCAAATCCTTGAGTCGTCTTACCGATGTGTCATTTGAAACAGATTCATTTTTTTGCTTGCAACCGCTCGACTCTATCTGATTCATGTTGACATTAGATTGAGCATTGAGGACGTTTTGAATATCTTTCAACTCTTCAATAATTAAAATCAATCGATTTCGTAATAAATAAACGAAAAATGTCACTTGAACTGGTCGTGCGCGCAGTATAAAAATTGAATACATGGCAGGATACATGAAAGTAAAGATAAGATTTTGATATTGCGCATAAATTGCAATGGAAAATTTTGCGAGAAGTACAGTTAAAACTAGAATGTAGCCTCGCGTTAATATTTCACATTTTTCCTCATGATATGGAATCTTGACTCTCAATTTTGTATTAAATAATTGATCGCAGAGTGACAAACTTTGTATGAGCTTCGTTTGAGCCTCTTTTTGTAAAATCGACTCGAAAACAATCACCAAATGCGTTAATACGACCAAAATATACATGAAATTACCAACGGTATTTGAAAGCGAATTGAAAGCATAGAAATTGTTTAATAAGTATGCAAAACAAATAAACACCAAAGCTATTGATGAACACGAACACACTCTGATTTGGTGCTTGAATTTTGAATTTTCCCATGTCGACCAAAGGCCAAAAAATATAAAAAACATGATATAGTTTCGTATTTGCTTGAAAAAATCCATTTTCTCTCAACAACTTTTCAACTCTAAACAAATGAAGCGATACTGAGTGCATTTTGAATTACGGAGACTTTTTAATGTTACCACTTGTCCTATTTTCTAAATGAGTATTTCTTCAAAATATTATAGATAAATCGTTCGATTAGAAAGACGTTTATCAGATCTTTTAGTTAATTTTTTATTTTCTACCAATTGCATTGTGTCACAAGGTTTGTGAAACGTCCATACCAAACATAAAATTTTCCAATTCAACAACTCGATAATTCAATCGTACTATTGCCGAGCATATTTTGTACATCCGGAAAACTCTCTTCGAACTGAATTTAAATAATTAAATAAGTGGAAATGCTGGTAACAATCTAGAACGAAATTAATGTAGATGCGTTTCAGAATAGCTTCAATGTCAGAACTTTGTCCTTATTTCATTGGATAATAAAATTACCAACTGAAGTCATCAAATTTAGGTTAACATTGAAGAAACCCTTTGCAGAAACATGGAATTGTTCATGATGTACTTGTAGGGAGAAGCAAAAGAATTCTTCAGGAGATTTTTCAATTTTCGAAATTAATTCAAACCCATTTGGATCTTCAAATATGATCTTATGTGTTGAAAACAAGACGAACAATAGAAAGCAAGTGTGTAGTGTTGTAACAGTTGGGATAAATGAACTTAAAGAAAATATGATCCGTTTAAAATTGTGTCGACACATATATCCCCAATAAGCATTAAAAGTAAAAGCAATTAACGTTTCCGTTGTTACCAGTATAGACCATCCGAATGCATTATTGATTTGCTCATATGCTTCATACAATTCACAGTAGATTAGTTTCAAGTTCGCAAGACGATCATTTATTGACATTTCTGGAGATGGGCTGGTGGAAAACAACAAACCTCTTGCGTTGTTATATATTAATTTCATTTGATTTATGTCATCGAATTGGATGCCGAGTTCATTTAGAATTTCTTTCAATTCGTCAATGATTAACAACAATCGATTTCGTATTGAATGAACTAAAAATATGGTTTGAATTGGTCTCAAATGCATTATTGAACATGAATACAATGTCACAAAGAAATGTTCGAAATAAATATTAAGATAGTCCATGTACAACGCATAGAAAACACTCATGAAAATGACGATTGACACAAGAATAAAACACCGTATAAATATTTTACAGATTTACAGGCAATAACATATTATTAACTATACTTAATAACATAATAATAACGGCCGATATATTGGTCCAACATAACATAATAATAATGTTATTAAGATTCAGCATAATAATAACATAATATGTTATGCGTTATATCGGGTGTTATCTTAATAAATCCTAAGATTCGGCGGTAATAACATTTTATTTACTATAATAATAACATATTATTAAGATGGATTTATTAAATCAATTAATAACATATTATTAAGATACAATCTTAATAACGCTTTTTTCGCGCATTTTTTTCACCGGAGCACTGACAATTTGTTTTTTCACTGCAGAGTACACACATGAATTTTTGCACTGTTGCAATGAAATTAAAATGACTCTTTGAAACGTAATTATCATGTATTGAACTTAACCATTAAGTTTAGGAAATCGCCAGTCTCGACCTTGAAAGGATCAATTTACCATATTTTGTCTGCATTGTTATAGGTGCGTACACCATACACTGTACACCCGTAGTGAAAAAAAAATCCAGTGCTTTTTTTCTCTCCAGCTAGGGAAAAGAATGCGCGAAAAAGCGTTATTAAGATTGCATCTTAATAATATGTTATTAATTGAGTTAATAAATCCATCTTAATAATATGTTATTATTATAGTTAATAAAATGTTATTACCGCCGAATCTTAGGATTTATTAAGATAACACCCGATATAACGCATAACATATTATGTTATTATTATGCTAAATTTTAATAACGTTATTAAGATAAAAAAAATCCCAACATAACATAATAATAAATATGTCGGGCAATAACATATTAATAACATATCGAAAATGTAAATCTGTAAAATATTTCACATTTTTCTTTATGATACGGAACCATTACCCTCAACTTCGTGTTGAATATAAGATCAACGAGTGATAAATTTTGAATGAGTCTTACTTGGGCAGCTTTTTAATAGATTAAATCAAACTCCATTATCAAATTGGTTATTACAATGAAGATAAACAACAGATTAGCCATATAGTATTCGAAAGTGAATTGAAGACATAAAATATATCAAAATAGTATGTGTATGCAAATTCCCAAAAGATTATCGTTATTAAAACAAATGAGCAAACATTGATTTGTGTATTCGCATTTCATTCAACCGCTTTCAACAGATTTGAAGCTACTTATTTACTGAGCGTTTCTTTCAACGCTAGAACTCATTTTAATATCACTTTTCGTAATTTTCTAACTGATTCAACGCAATTGAGATTCAATCAACTTTTTCAATTTAATTATGCGATGGTAATTCAATTAATTCATGCAACTCGATGTTTGTTTTCAAATCAATTACGATGAAGAGAGTGACGTCTTTCATTGGAATTTTCCACTCGATTAATGTGATTAAAATTGCTAATTTATCATTTCAGTTGTTCGATTGCTCAGTATGCTTTGTATGTTTTGGTAACTCTCTTCGAACTGAATCAAAATAATTAAAAATGTTGAAGAGCTGGCTAAAAGCTTGGATGAAATACGAAAGATATTGTTTTAATTCAATTAATTCAACATTTAATTTCCATTGAAAATTGAATTTTCCTTACCGAACCCATGAGCCGAAGATTGATATTGAAATAACCTTTTGCAGATATCAAGAATTCTTCATGGTGTACTTGTAAGGCAAACTCACGAATCATGTCGTTTTGACCTTGATTTTCCTTATCAATTGGGATTCTATGAAGAATCGCCTCAACAAGACGACTCTGAAATAAGCGAATCAATCCGTATTGAAAATAATTCTGATCATGTTACAAGTTACATCATCAAATGAATTGCCTACATATTGATAACATGACGAACAGTAGAAAGCCAATGTGCCCAACAGTAACATATTCGGTACCATTAAATTTACCCAAAGGCAATCGTCTTCATATAGACAAACGTATCCCCAATAACAATTACACGTGAATTCGACAAACGTTTGCATCGTAAATGCCACCATTGACCATCCAACTGCCTCATTGATTAATTCAAATGATTCATTCAGTGCGCTATAGATATGCTTCAAGGTGATAAGTCGACAATTTATCGAAAGCTCTTCCGAAGGACGATTTCTGTGGCGACGTTTAGATTGTGTTTGACTGATACCGTTTGACTTCCGAATAGCTGCTGCATGAATTGTCTTCAGTTCTTCATTGATCAAAATTAAACGAGTTCGCAGCAAATAAACAAAAAGTAGTACTTGAATCGGCCTCAAACGCATCAAAGTATTTGAATACATGGCCGCATACACTAAGTTGAAATATCGATCTTGATAATAGGTGTAAATTATAATCACCAAATCAACAGAAATCACGATTAATACAAGGATGAAGCATCGTGTAAATATTTCATATTTTTCTTTACGGTACGGTATCATCACTTTCGTTTTGGTATTGAATAAATGATCAACAAGTGCAATATTTCGTAAGAGATTCGCTTGGGCCTCTTTCTTTCGAATTGATTCAACGACAATGATAAAATGCGTTATAACAATAGCAGTGTACCATAAATTAGCAACAATATGTGACAGTGAGTTGCTGTCATAGAACCAATCAAAAATGAATGCAGACAAAAAATCAAAAAATACCAAAAAGATCGAAAAAAGAGAACACAGTTTGATTTGAAATTTATATTTAAAATTTTGCCACGTCGACCACAAGCCAAAAATAATGAAAAACACGATGTAAACTCGCATTTGTTTGCAAACCACCATTTCTTATATATTTTACAACGTTAGCGATATACAACTTTTTGATGACTGTTTCAGTTTTGAAGTGATGAATCATTTAATCATTATGTCTCTTCCCTGGTGTTTTTATGGGTATTCTTTCAATTCAATTGAAGTGCGGCAATCATTCGATTTTAGATTAAATTCTAATATTCAACATGTCTTTCAAATTAGATTAGAATTGCCGAAGAATAAAAAGCGAAAATACACAGAGAAACGACACATTTATTTAATAAAATTTTGATGTTTATCTTACTCGCTAACTAATCACATTTGACCTTTTTGTTCTAGAATTTTTCGATTAATGGAACCGCTCATTTGAATTTATTTACGCGGTCCATTGTATCCTATACTCCATGGAAATCGGTTGTCAAAAATATCATTCAAACTGCAGGTAAAACTCACGTAAAATTCAATCAACGATTCCGTTTAACACGCTCAATGACAAGTTACCGATTCAATTGTACCATTGTTTAGCATACTTTGCACGCTTTTGCGACTCTGCTCGAATTGAATCAAAATTATGAGGAACGTTGTCGAAGCCGCAAACATTGAATCCATCAGATCGAAGTTAATATCAAAATATCCTTTTGCAATGAGAATTCATGAATTAAATCATTTTGGTGTTGACTCTTTCAAAATGCCAAGCTCTTTCCAAGTTTATGCATAGTGTCGAACTTTTGTTCAAGCTCTACTATCTAAATGTACAGTAAAATAATTTACGGGCACGACGTAAGATGGCGTTTTTTCTATTAAAAAAAGTTGCAATATCCCTTTGGAAACAGCTGGTATCCATAAATATATAATCAAGTATTATATGTTATACAAGCAGAAATATGCCCAGTATATGTTCGTAAACTCAATAAAGGCTTGCAATGTAAATGCCAACAATGACCATCCGAATGCTTTACTTATTAGCTCTCACGATTGATGCAATTCTCTATAGGATTGTTTTAAGCTCATAATTCGATCATTTATTGAGCGTTTTGTCGAGTGATTGTTTAAAATTAACTCATCGCTTGTGTTAGAAGTGTTAGATTTGCTTTTACTTAAGTAGTTCAGAATATCTTTTAACTGTTCGTTAATTAAATTCAAACGGTTTCGCAGCAAACAAACGAAAAATATTATTTGAATTGGTCTCAAACATATCACGAAATATGAGTGCATGGTCACATAGAAGAAATTGTAGTAACGATGGAAATAATAATTATAGAACACATAGAATAGGTCTACAAAAATCAGAAAGGATATGAGAACGAAAAACCGTGCAAACATTTCACACCTTTCTTCCTTATATGGAATCAGCACATGCAACTTGGTACTGAATAGTTGGTCAGCAAGCGACAGACTCTGGATGAGCTTTGATTGCGCCTCTTTTTGTAAAATCGATTCAATGATAATGGTCAAATGTGTTGATATAATTAGCATGAACAGCAAATTACCGATAATATTTGAAAGTGAATTGAATGCATAAAATTCATTGAAATAGTATGCAGACCACAAACCACCAAACACTAGTGCTACCGGTAAATATGAATGAATCCCGATTGAAAATTTATATTTAGAATTTGGCCATGTTGATGATAAAACACATGATATAGTTTCGAATTTGTTTAAAAAATACCATTCTTCTGTCGATACTTTCAGAACTCTAGACAAATGGCCATCCGAAGTTACCCTTTCACTGAATCTAGTTTGAAGTTAAAACTCATTTAAATACTACGGTTGGTCATTTTCTAATTTAGTGTTGTTCCACTGTTTTATTGATGAAATATTCGATTTGAAAGGTGTTTATCAGATCTTTTAGGTAATTTAGATAGATATGTATTGCAATTTGTTTTAAGTAAGGAGAAAAAGTAATCATAGAAAATTTGGAATTAAAAATGGCTTGTGGAACATTTTTGTTCAAAAAGACAGAATGAAGCATGAAGTGGCGCTAACAAATTTTCCATCCAGTTGTGCCATTGTTTAGCACAATGGCTTGTATTTCGCGGTAACTGTCTTCGAATTGAATTAAAATAATATAGTCGTAGCTGAAAAAACGGCTGAAATCGACCGGTTGAATAAATTTGCTCGTTCTTAAAATTCGACTTCATTTTAATGTTGTATTTTCGAATTGAAAAATCATTTCGAAGAGAAATGTGGTTATTTCAAAAATGAGCTGGGTTAGCAAAAAAATAGATTACATTGTACGTGGATTCAAAATGGGAGTCACATTAGTGATATTATGCTACGTTTGTTTTATATAACTCTTAAGCTCTTATTACGATGATACTCATGTGTTTTTCTAAATGTCGTTTTTTTAAATCCGTATTTTGATATTGAAATAAAACACACAAAAATTCTTTGACAACAATTGCTGTTGGTTTGTTTTTGTAGCGTATGGTATGCCATTTAATGTCCGACATGCAGTTCAGGGATATGACCACCACCCCTCCTTTTTTACCACCTTTCTTGACAGACCATTTTTGAGCTATTTTTGGGGATTTTGAGGTCACACTCCCATAATTTTATGAATTTTGTTGAACTTTAAAGCGTGAATCGTTTCATTTTCATCTGAGTAAACAAAAGAATTCATGTATCCCCACGGGGGAGTAGCCCATAGCCGTAAAATAGGGTCATTTTGTTGGATGATGTACAGATTGCATATTCGAAATTTTGGGAAAAAAACTTACACGAGACAGTTTCTCCAGTAAATTGATTTTTTTGCTCAAAATATGCTAAGATATGGACATTTTATTGAATTCGGTGATCATCCAGACCAATTTTGTCAAAAACAGTGGAAAATTTATTTTTGGGTATTGCTCAAATGGCTGAGAATAGAGGCTGCTCGATGAAACCAGATTACTGCCCAAAAACAGATTTTGTCACTCTGTACTAAGGAGTTTTGGGCCAATTCGTATTTATTTTGTTATTTCATGGAAGTTTTGACCAAAACCCATCCATATTTTGAGCAAAAATTAACTTTTCTGGTCAATTATAAGCAGAAAAGAGAAAAAAAAATAAGGTCAAAAATTTTGTGTCGGGAAGACCCCACAAAAAGGAGGTCATATCCTTGAACTGCATGTCGAACATTAAATGGCATACCATACGTTACAAAAACAAACCAACAGCAATTTTTGTCAAAGAATTTTTGTGTATTTTATTTCAATATCAAAAAAACGGATTTAAAAAAAACACCCTTTGAAGTATGCTCATTACATTAGTCTCCAATGTAAATCAACAACTCTCCAATCCAGATGTACCATTACTCAACATAATGTGTTTTTCACGATTGCTCTCCTCGAATTGAATCAGAATAATCAGAAACGATGTGGATGCTACAAAATACTAAGCAAATAAACCGAATTTATTGAATTAATGTATCAATCAACCGATGTTATTTCAATTGAATTTAATTAAATAAAATACATACCGAGCTCACTAGGTGGAGGTTTATGTTAAAATAACCTTTTGCTGAAACGATGAATGGTTCATGGTGCACATGCAGAGCGAATTCACGAATCAAATCGTTTTGAGCTTGGTTTTCCTTATCAATTGGGATTCTATGAAGATTCGCCTCAACAAGACGACTCTAACAATGAGAAAAGTCATCGATTCCAGAATCAGTATATTAATTATGTCATTGAATGAGTTGCTTACGTATTGAAAACACGAAGAACAATAGAAAGTTAATACACCGAGTAATAAAACTTCTGGAATCGATAAGTAGATTATGAGGTCCGTGATGTTATGCATACACATGTATCCCCAATAACAATTCGAAGTGAAGTCGATGAAAGCTTCCAAAGCAGATGCAAACATTGACCATCCAAATGCTTTGTTGATCAGCTCACAAGCTTCGTGCAATGCTCGATATGTTTGTTTTAAATTTAAAAGTCGATCGTTTATCGGATGTCTTATTACCGGATCATTTGAAATTAATTCAACTCGTACGCTACGACGATTCAATTGTCTCTGTATATCTTTCAGTTCTTCGTTGATTAAAACCAAATGACTTCGCAACAAACAAACGAGAAAAATAATTTGAATAAATCTTAGACTCATCATAAAATATGAGTAAAACGATACATAGATAGAGTTGTAGTAAAGATTGTTTTTATAAGTGTAACATAAAAAGATTATATTTAGAAAAGTTACTATTGATACAAGGATGAAACACCGTTTGAATATTTCCGATTTTTCTTTATAATATGATATCATCACATTCGATTTGCTATTGAATAATTGATCAGCGAGTGACAAACGGTCGATAAGATTAGATTGGGCCTTCTTTTGGCAAATCGATTCAACGACAATGATCAAATGGGTTGTTGCAATAGAAACGTATAACAAATTCGAAACATTGTTCGAAATCGAATGGTTGGCATAAAATATATTGAAGAAATATGCGGAAGAAAAGCAACAAAATATTGGTGCAATTGATAAAAATGAGCACAATTTGATACGGCGTTTGAATTGTGCATTTTCCCATGCCGACCACAAACCGAAAACTATGAAAAATACGAAATAGTTTTTTATCTGCTTGAAAAACATATTTCTTCTTTGTCAATGTTCACAATGTGACACAATCGCACCTACTTACACACTGTGTGCATTTTTAAGCTTGATGCAATTTAAATTCTACTTTTCAAATAAACTATGGTTTAAATCGGTTGATCTAGATTCAGATCAACCGTAAAATTACATAAATTATTAGATCAACGAAGTACTTCATATAATGGTGTCTTTTATCATAAACTAAAATCGCATTAGTTAGTGATTCTTGATAGTATATTTTCAATGCTTCAAAATACAATTTAATAATGTGTACACTGTACAAGCCACAATTGAGGACATGAGTCATTACGAAGGAATTTCTTTCGAAATCCATAAATTTGTGTAAAAGCAATTAGTATATCAAAACATTGACTCGACACACATTTCGGTCGAATCGTTTACATTAAACGAAAATAACGTAACAGTCATGGAACATATGTTTTCAAGTACAAAGATTTTAAAATGCAATAAGTCGTGCTGTTCGAAAACAAATTTGAATTGTAACAGAGGACCAAAAATAAACCGTAATCAAATTGTCTTTATGTCATTACAATGTATTTCTTTGTAAGTCCAGGTTTACAGCTACGGCAACATTGAAATTTTCGAATGTGTGAATCATATGCAAAAGGGGAATCATTTCCATGGGTTTTGTCAGTTAATTTTGTTACCAACAAGTATCCAATCCAGATTTATCGTTATGTAACATTATGTATATATCGCGATAGCTCTCCTCAAATTGAATTAGAATCACTAAAAAGCTTGCAGCTGCAGCTAACATCTAGGACCCAAATTTATTCAATCAATGAATTATTTAGTTTGTCTTAATGTCGATACCTACCGAACCAACAAGATTGATATCTATGTTGAAATATCCTTTTGCTGAAACAAATAATCGTTCATGATGAACTTGCAACGAAAATTCACGAACCAAATCGTTTTGTGGCTGATTGGCCTTATAAATTGGAATTTGATGCAGATTCAACTCGACCAGTCGACTCTGAAATGAAAAGTAATCCATTCCATGACACTAGTTCTAATTTCTGTACCGAACAAACAGCTTACGCATTGAACGAATGAGGAACAATAAAACGCTAACACACCAACTAATAAATTTTCTGGTACCAATATGAAAGCTAAAAGATCTTCAAAGTCGTTCAAACACATAAATCCCCAATAGAAATCTAATGTGAATTCAAAAAAAGTTTGCGTGGCCATTGCCAACATTGACCATCCAAACGCTTCACTTATTAGTTCACATGATTCGTACAATTCGCTATAGATTCGTTTAATGTTTGAAAGGCGATCATTTATTGAATGTTTCATGGTGGATAGACTATTTACATCATTTTCAGTGTTTTGAACATTTGATATTATTATGATGTTAGATTTCACACTTTTAAGTGCATTCTGAATGTCATTCAATTCTTGAATCATTTAAATCAAACGACTTCGCAACAAACAAACCAAAAATATTATTTGTAATAATCTTAAACACATCATTAAATATGAATAAAGAGACACGTACATGAAGCTATAATCATTCTCCATATAGTGCGTGTAGAATACAAAGAGTATATTTGTGAAAATTACAAATAACAAAAGAACAAAGAACCGTTTGAATATTTCCGATTTTTCTTTTTGATATAAAATCATTACATTCGATTGCGTATTAAATAATTGATCAGCGAACGACAAGCTTTCGATGAGTTTCGCTTGAGCCTCTTTATGAAAAATCGATTCTACGACTATGATGATCACAAGCCAAAAATGGCAAAAAACAATATGTAGTTTCTCATTTGTTTGAAGAACAACATTTTTATTTGGTTACGTTCACTGCAAGAATCTACTTATACACTGCGTGTAATCTAGAGTTAATATCGATTTAAATGTTGCTTGTAAATAGTAATTTTTTAGATCAATAAAATTATATGAAATAAAAGGTATCCTTCATCTTAGTTATTATGAAATTATTTTAAAAGCAGAGATAACGTCAGTGGCTTCGAATAGTTTGTCCAATCGTTGTGATGAAATGAGCCGAGGCACACATATTTAGTTATTACTAATTTAGAACATAAATACTCGCTTCTTTATAAAAAAAAACACATTATGATTGAAATACAGTTTTAATAAAAATGATTCACAATCTAAAACCTTCTACAAAAAAGAAGAACAAATGCTATTCTACGAATTGATGCTAAAGCCAAGTCTTCAAATTCAATAATGATGATTCCATTCCTGCGAATCAGATCGCTTCATTTCAATTAGTTGCAAATTTGTATCGCCATTACTGAGCGTCCATTTCGATGTCAAAAAGACATTGTCTGGAACGTAAATGATGACTTTTCGTGCTTTTTCCAGCTTCACTCGTTCTTCATTCAACTGCACAATGTTGAGAAAATCTCCGTTGAAGCTCGATTTATCTTTCGGAAACAATTTGACACATTTCAACTTCGTTGATCGACGAATGAAAGGTAAAAGTGCATCGTATGTTACATTTCTCATGTAAAGATATTGAAGATTAACATAGTTATTTGCCAGAATTTCCATGTCATTTGGATTGGCACCATCCAAAATGGCCAATTCTTTCAAACCTATCAAATGGGCCAAGCTATAGCTCTCACTGAACTGTTGTATACACAATTTCTCGAGTCCCTGCAATTTTATCACATAGTCACTGTTTTTCTGAGTAACCTTTGGCATATAAAAATGCAATCTTTTAAAAAATCGTCCATGTAGTTGGTTTAACAGTGTGCATAACGACTGTATTGTCAATGTATCTTGGTCTGATTCATCCTCACTGTCGGGGATCTCATTATCTTCGTCATCGTTGTAGTCGTCGTCGTCATCATCATTATTACCACCATTAGCTTCGTTTTTATTACCGCCAACATTGGTGACAACCGTGTAATATCCATAAATTTTTACTTCCAGAACGTCTAGCTTTATTTTGGATTCTAAAATTGTATGTCGATTTAGCCACAGTGAATATGCACTAGTCGAACAGATCTTTACCGTTGGATTTTGATCAAAAAAGTGATCAAGTTCATTTGGAGTCGCTAGAGCTGGAATTGGATTCAATTCCAAGTACTCGAGCATTGGGTAGCTCTGTTGTAGCCATTTATTTCCGAGATGCGAGTCTTGCAGATAAAGACGCTTCATTTTTGGACAAAAATTCAGAAGAATATCGTGGAAATCACCATCAATGGTACAATTTCTGATTTGTATGGTTTCAATGTTGGGCAGAAGGTGTTTGAAATGCTTTAATTCTGTGTTCTGCAACATAAGGGACTCGAGGTAAATGTAATTCACCGATTTGAATTCCTCGCAATGCGATTCGATGTAAAAAAGTGGTTCTTTTAATACGCCACTGTACGAGATATTGGTGATAAATGCATTGAATACTGTGGTGAGCATCCGATCATTTATAGCACCTTCGTTATCAGCATAAAAAACCGAAATGCCGTCATTTTCAATGAACGTTTCAGCTGCCCAATGACTTTGTCGAAAATATCCACCGACAATTTGTTGTATTGTCTTGCATGTTTGGCCGAAGCTGTGCAAATCTTTCATAGATAAATACTCGAAAATTTCCTCGAAACAATCGATGGTCAGCTTGAAAATTTGTGATCGTGATTGTTGATTCAATGGTTTTCTCAAAACAGCAGTTACAGATGAATTTTTCTCATTTTTCGGCGAATCTAGTGTATCATTCGATGAATTCAATGGGTCAACTTTTTCCTGCATTTGCTGTTCTTCTGCACTTAACTTTTGCTCCGCGCATTCCGATCGGTTTTTTGGGTCACTCATTTTACAAGGCCACTACACGGATATTCAAATAAGACTTTTTTTTTTCAAAAATTAGGCAAATAAATGTTTGATAGTTAAATTGAACGAATGAAAAAAATGCAACAATTTAATATTTTGGATGACATTTAATAAAACTCACATTGAATCAGCTTCAGAATAAAGCTAAAAATAAACTAACATCTGTCACATCTGAGCAGCACACATCGGCTCATTGAAACAAACGCAACAAATAAAAATAGCTTAAGCGTTCAGCACATCTGTTTGTAAGAGATTGGAGTTTTCATTTCGTTGACATAGCACACGTTATTCCCCCATTTGAACCATAATCCGTAGAAAATCCGTTAATAAAAATCGAACGAAAAGGTCCATTAAAATCAATACTTGTGCCGAAAACAAACACAAAACTAGTAAAGGTGCTCAATGGATTGATAGTTGATTTATGTTTTCAACTAATTCTATGGAGCTCATTTTGGTAATTTTCTATAGAATATTACAAAATTCTCATCAACAACTCGACAGTTGAGTCGTATTATTGCCCAGCATAAATTGAATTTCTCGATAACTCTCTTCAAACTGGATCAAGATGATGAGAAAAGACGTTGAGCCGAAAACATCTGAGGAATGAAATATTTGATGAAGATTGTAAATATGCTGAACAATCTAAGAATAACATGAATGTATGTGACCACATCTAGATAAAACTACTTACTGAGCCAATTAGCTGAAGGTTAACATCAAAATACCCATTTGCAGATAAAACGAAGTGTTCGTGGTGGACTTGCAGTGCAAATTCTCGAATTAAATCGTTTTGAACTGGGTTTCCACTTTCAATTGTAATGCGATGAAGATTTACCTCAATTAGCCGACCCTAAAATAACCAAATTTATCCATTGGTGTCAATTTTAAAGGTATTATTGCTTACGTAATGAAAACACGAAGTACAATAAAACGATAATATGCACAGGAACAAAACAGTTGGCATCAAAGAATAGATGAAAAAATCATTGAAATCATGCACACAGAAATAGCCCCAATAGAAGTTTCCAGTAAATTTGAAGAATGATTGCGTTATAATCATCAATAGAGACCATCTAAAGATGTTATTAATAAATCTGCACGATTCATGTAGTTCGAAAAAAATTTGTTTTAATTTTATAATTCGATGAATTGTCGATAGATTGTTGGAAGTCAAATCGATTCCTGTGTTGTGACTGTAAGATTTTCTCTGATTAAAGTTATTACTTTGCACACGACCATATTCATTTTGAATATTCTTTAATTCTTCATTAATTAAAATCAAACGATTTCGTAACAGACACACGAAAAATATCGCTTGAATTATTCTCAAACATATTACATAATATGACACCATTGCCGCATACATGAAATTAAAAACGTACCTTCGGCGGTAGTTGCATAAGAGTATATTTACAAACACTACGATTGATACAAGACCAGAGCATCGTATAAATATTTCACATTTTTCTTTACGATATGGAATCTTTACTTTTAAACCGGTGGTGAATAAATGATCAGCATGTGACAAGCTTTGAATGAGCTTTGCTTGAACCTCTTTCTGACTATGTGACTCTGCCACAATGGTCAAATGGGTGATCATAAGGAAAATGTACAATAAATTCGAAATGGTGTTCGTTAGTGAAACGAAAGGATACATTTTATCGAAATAATATGCGAGTGATAAGAAAATAAACACGATTGATATTGATAAATATGAACACACGTTGATCCATAATTTATATTTGAAATTTGGCCATGTTGACCAGAGTCCAAACAGAATAAAAACCACGATATAATGCTTTATTTGTTTGAAAATCATGTCTTCCATTGATAGTGCTCACAACTTGAAACATGAAAATCTACTAACATATTGTGTGCATTCTGAAATTAAAAGAAATTGAAATATCATAAATCGTAATTACTGAATTGGATGAAAATTCATTTCGTAATTAGAAAAGCACTCGTAAGCAGTTATTATAAGATGATCACAAAAACGAAATTACAACTCAATTAAAATGTTCATTAAATGTTTCACTCAATAATATATTCCTTCTTTTAAGGTGTACTCTGACTTGCTACAAATTTAAAATTATTTTCAGACGATTTGTGTACGTCTCTGCCGGACGTTTCGAATTGGATTAAAATCACCAGAAATGTTACGGATGCCATAAATGCCTTGAATGATCGTAAAATTGGATAAAGTCAATAAATTATCTCATCAGGTTCAATTCAAAGTTCTATTGAATCTACCGAGCCTAGCAGATCCATTCCAAAGTGAACAAATCCATTTGCAGATATGAAAAATGGCGAATGATGCACTTGCAATGCAAATTCACGAACAAGATCATTTTGAGGCGCATTTTGTTCATCAAAGTTGATACGATATAAGTTTGCTTCAATGCGTCTTGCCTACAAAATGCAATGTTATTAGTCTTTCTTCAAGATAACATTGCGAAAATATTACAAAGCATTAATGTTACCTCTTTGAAACATGAAGTGCAGCAAAATGATAGAATACCCACTGTAATTATGTTCGGTACCAATAGACTGATACATACCATTGGAACATCGAATGTAGAAAATTCGCCCTCGTAATATATGAACAACCAGTAACAATTAATAGTAAAATCAATAAAGCTCTGCGTTATGGCCGCTAATAGAGAGCATCCAAAAATGGCATTAATAAGTTTGCAGATTTCATACATTTCTCCATAGATTTTCTTTAAATTTAACAGTCGATCATACGCCGGTGATACCTCAAAAGCAGTATCCCTTACAGAATCCTCACTTTGGCTTATATTTCGAATATCCATCAATTCTTTGTTAATCAAAATCAAGCGATTTCGCATTAAATACACAAAAAACAACACTTGAATGGGTCTCAAGCGCACTATCCAACTCGAATACAGAGCCGAATACAGAAAATGCAATGATCGACTGTAGAAATACGATACAATGACAACTTTAAAGATCAATATCATTGAAATGAGCACGAAATTCTGAATAAACATTTCTCGTTTTCCTTTTCGATATGGCAAGCATATCAAGTTCAATTTTGTACTGAATATTTGATCGAGGATCGTAAATTTTTGAATGAGCTGTACTTGTGCCTTGCTTTTTAGAACAGACTCGACGGCAATCACTGAATGTGCCATCAAAATGGTGAAAAATGACGAGATTGCAACCGATGTTGTCAACGAAATGCCATGAAAAAATTGTTCTGGAAGAAATGCAGACCAAAACGAGCAAAGTACAGTTGATATTAGGAACAGTGAATATATTCGAAGCAACCATTTGTATTGTAAGTTTTGCCACGATGACCACATTCCAAAAACACAATAAAATACAATATAACCGCGGATATGATTGAAAAACATCGTTTCGATCAATGTCTTATGCTAGCAAAATTGTATGTATTCTGCAGGGTTTGGTGCAGTCAAATGGAATAAGAAACAGGTGTATTAAGAGCTCGTGTCCCACAAAGTTTTATTCATTTTATTTCACAACAAATTTTACAGAGGAATAATGTGAAACATTAATATAAGCTGCGATTAAAATAATGGGAATTTAATGAATCCACGTGATGATCCATGATGATTATTATGGATATAGATATAGATAAATATTAGTGCAGATAATCTATGCATAAATTTAATCAAATTGACTTTCTGTTGCCAACGTTTGAATCTCTTTGTTGGAAGTTTCAAACTGAATTAAAATGACGAGATAGGCCAAGCATGTGGTGAACATAGATCCCAGCAAATCCAAATTGATATGAAAAAATCCGCTTGCCGTTATGACAAAACGTCCGTGATGGACTTGCATTGAAAATTCGCGTACAAGGTCATTTTGTATATCATTTTCCTCATCAATCGAAATGCGATGGAGAATCTGTTCTGTGATGCGGGCCTAATAGAGATTGATAGAAAAAGAGGAAAATTTAAAATTAATGCTGTTTTCATCAAAAAAAGTGAACTAACTTGTTGATAGCATGAAGAGCAAAAGAATGTTAGAACACTCGATAGCATGGCAATCGGTAGTAATAAGCTGATACAAATGAGAAGACTAATGGTATCAACTTTAGACTTTTCCAAGTATAAAAAACACCAATAGCTATTGCAGGTAAAATCGATGAAACATTGCGTGGTAATGGCCAACAGAGACCAGCCAAACGTTTTGTTAACTAGCTCACAAACGTCGTACAATTGTCCATATATATTTTTTAACATCTTGATTCGATTGTAGACGCTGTATCTGGTGAATGTTACCCGCCGTCTGCTACCCACTTCGAATTCACTGCTAATGCATTTCAATTCGTTGTTGATTAACATCAATCGGCATCGTATCAAGTGAACGTACAAAATCACTTGAATAGTTCGCAAGCACATAATCCATATAGAAAGCAGTGCCGAATACCAAGAGATAAATATTTTTTGGGGAAATTGCATGTACGCGCTGATAGAAACCTTCAATATAATGATGGTCGATAGAAGAGCAAAATTTCGAGCAAATGTTTCGCATCTTTCTTTCATATATGGAATCTTGATCTTTAATCTGGTACTAAATAAGTGATCGACAATGGAAAACTTCTGAATGAGTTTTATTTGACTGTCGCCGGTGAGAAGGGACTCAATGACAATGATCAAATGCGTCAATGAAATGATCATGTACACGCGGAAAGAGTGATATTTTTGAAAATGTCATAAGAATAAATGACAGTTGCAACTATAGTCAATTCTTGATATACGCAAAAGATGGAATATGCCCGAATCCACTTGTATTTGGTGGTTTTCCATGTTGACCACAGACCAAAAAATATGAACAATATAGTGAGGTTGCGGACTTGGTTGAAAAACACCATTTTCAACGATGGCAAATATTGTACTTTCCCATTGTTCTACGGTACCATTTGGATATGCTATTTACTGACTTTGAAATGAAATTTCACATTTGAATATTACTTTTTCTGTCATTTAATCTTTCGGTTTTGAGTGTTTACATAAATACGAGTCCATATCGCTAATGGATTAATTGCTTTGTTCCATTTTCCATTGGCTTCATTATTGGTTTTCTTATCGGTTTTCCTCTGGTTGACATCTCAAATTGGATCAAAATCACCATGTATGTAATGGTCAACGCTATTAACTTTACGAAAGAGAGAAAATAGAGAGCGATAGGATAATTCACAATTTCACGGTCTATTTTCTGAGTTCAAAACAATGTTGAAAGTCATGTAAAAGCACTCACCGAACCGATTAAATTGAAATCGATGTGGAACACTCCATTTGCTGATATAAAGATAGGATCGTGCAGCAATTGTATGGAAAATTCTCTAATCAGATCATTTTGTGGATCATTTTCATTACTCTGTTTAATGCGATGCAAATAGCTGCCTAAGAATCGTGTCTGATTTGATACAAATTGGGAAAATATAATTAAAATTTAACTTCTCATTTCTCTTCTCATTTTTCTTTAATTTTGTTTCTTTTCTCCAGAAAAAATAAACTTACTTGTCGTGAACATGACGAGCAATAAAAGACCATGGCACCTAGCATAACTGTAATCGGTATGAGTAAAGCTACACTTTCACCAACATGTTCGAAGTTTATTTCTGATTTTCCGAAAGCCAAAAATAATCTGTAGTTGTGGCCAATGAAGTCAATAAAATTCTGTGCAACAATTGTGAGTAAAGACCATCCAAATGTGATGTTGATCAGTTCACAAATTTCATGCAACTCCCCATAAATTTGCTTTAAATTTACTAATCTGTCATATGAAGATCGCTTGCTAATGGATGAATCAAGAACGAATACGGAATCACGGAAGAATCGCCAATGATTTGCCCTAACACCGTAAAAACTTTGTGACACTAGAACTTCCTTCATTTTCTCCTTGATAAGACCAAGGCGATTGCGAATTAAAAACACAAAGAATAAGATTTGAATGCATCGCAGGCGCAATATCCACACAGAGCACATACACTGACACCAAAGACTACTAATGTTGTTATGATAGCTTAAATGCACTGTTAAAATGATGCGGACAGAAACAGCAATAAAGATTAACACCGCAAAGCGAACGAAAATTACACGTTTCTCATCTCGATAACAAATTGCCAAGTGCAATTTAGACTTGAACAGAAAATCTGCATACGCAAGTTTCTGAATGAGACGCATTTGAGCGTTGCGATTGATGAGAGCCTCCAAAAGGATAACCAAATGCGTAAATAAAATGCTCCACAAGAATAAATATTCAACTATTGACGATAGAGTATGACCGAACCATTCTCTATCGATAAGAATGGTCGATAAAAAGATACCGAGAACGAAACCAATGCAAGCAATCGAATAAACTATGAGATGCACTTTATATTTTGAATTTTTCCAAATTGGCCACAAACCAAAAATGAGGAAAAATCCGATGAAACCACGCATTTCATCGAACAATTTCTTTTGCTTATGCTTCATTTCCTCTGACTGATGGGAAGCACACTTCACGAATTAGTTAATCAGCTATTTTCGAACCAGTTTTTGTTCAAGAAAAAAAAGCAATTATAGACCATTAACATGCCTATGCAAATGACTAATGATTTAATTTTATCTGCATTCCATATCAAAATCAGTCAGTGAAAATAAATGGACAAACAACTAAAACGCATTTCATATCGTACTGATTTTTATTGAATGCAATCACAAATAATTATAAGTTTGGTGATAAATTGTTGAATGCAATCACAACAACGCAATATTGGTGCTTTGGTTAATCAAGACAGGTGCTACTACACATGTGAATATCAAATGCTTCATCTATTCATAGATTGGCCATCAAATCAATGTTTAATTGCTCCATATTGTCCTATTCGCATTCGACATGTTTTGTATTTCCTTGTCGCTTAGTTCAAACTGAATCAAGATAACCAAGTAGGTTACGGTTGCGGCACCCATCTTTTTCCACAAAGGATATTTCCATTTATATAAAAAATGAATAAATAAACAGAATTGAATAATTATATCCAGAATGCATTCTGAAAAGTTATGAGTCATTTACCGATCCTAATAGATCGAAATCTACGTTGAAAAATCCATTTGCCGTAACAGAAATTGGTTCATGTATTACTTGCAGCGAAAATTCTCGCACAAGATCGTTTTGTGGTTCATTTTCCTTTTCTCTTGTGATACGGTGTAGGTAACTTCCCATGAATCGAGCCTATCAAAAATGTTTTTTTTTTGTACAATTTCTGTTATTATTTTTTGCTTCAAAAATTCAATAGGATTTCATTTTTTGTGTAGATGCAGTGAAAATATGTGTGAATTTAACCAATATTTCTTTTACATATCGAGAACAAGACGAGCAGTAGTAAGCCAATAGACTGAGTATTATAACGATAGGCACCAATAAACCAATACAGTCGACGGCATTCGCAGTATCTGGTACTTTTTGTTCCAATGCTAAAAACGTCCAATAACTGTTGCTTGTAAAATCGATGAAGCATTGCGTGATTATCGCCAACAACGACCACCCGAATGTAACATTGATAAGTTCGCATATTTCGAACAATTCACCTATGATTAAATATAAAATTAGAATTAATCTCATTCCACTCTATGTGAAACCATTTTTTGTTATATTCACCGTAGATTTGTTTCAAATTCAATAATCGGTCGTAAGTTGAGTACTTTGCATTCGAGGTGTCCAAAACGAAGACGATATCCCTGGTATCGGTGATTGGTTGCCATTCATTCGTGCTGCCAGTGTGTATGTTACGTGCTGCTAAAATTTCCTTGACTTTATCATTGACCAAAATCAATCGGGCTCGCAGTAAATACACAAAAAATAACACTTGTACGGATCTTAAACGCATAATCCAAATCGAGAACAGGCAATGATACCAAAAAGAACCTAGCCTGCCCGTCGAGTGCAGATGAACCATTAATCCCACTTTGATGGCAACAAATATGGATAACAGCAATGAAAATCGTATGAACAGTGCCTGTTTCTCCTTGCGATATGACATGAATATCTGTAACTTTGTATTGAACAAACGGTCGACCTGCGAAAACTTTTGGATAAGTTTTGTTTGCGATTTGCGATAGAACAGCGACTGCACCACGATTATCAAATGGGTCGTTAAAATGCTGAACAGGAACGAGTAAGCAACGGCAGTTGATAATGTACTATCTTCTAGCACTTTATTTATGTATATTGCCGATAAAAATATGAAGAACACCAACAGAATCGAAAAAATCGAATACAACATTAACCAAGTTTTATACTTTGTGGTTTGCCACGTCGGCCACAAACCAAAAATGAGAAAGAATGCGATGAAACCTCGCATTTCATCGATGAATGTGCTTTTTATCGACATTTCTTTGTTTGTCTATTTGATTTTTTTCTCGTGGCGTTGGAAAGTTTTTTTCTATCCGAGGGAGACTCTGGCTGAGTTTAAAACCACCGACAGGTTCAAGTTGTTCTCACCAACTAATCGCGGTACGTCATTTATAACATTGAATTTATGGAGTATGTGTTCAAGCAACTGATGACTTTCATTTTCTTATCACGGCACAAAGATCAAAAATTCCGCAGTTCCATACAGTATTATACACCTTAGCTTACCAATATGCCCGATTGAAAATGATAATTGATTAATGATTGTGTTCTATTTTGATGAAATGGCAAAGAAAAACAAACTATTTATTCTTGAATTTTCGATTTTAATTTCGATTGAAATTTTATTCAAACGGAAAGATTCCAACACAAAAAATATCGTGATAAAGTTTATATAATTATCATCTCCAATAAATTATTCGCTTTTCCAAAATGGGAGAAAAGGATGAAGAAATATTCACAGCAATTCAAATTTCTCATGTTTGATTGCATCACACAATTTTGTAGAGCATTGAAACTGCTGCATATATATTTGCTGCTGGTGAACAGATCTGTTCGAAAGCAGCTGTTGCTTGCGTGCATATTCGCTGTGATGCTGGTTCGTTCATGTATCGATTCTCGCGCACAGTGTTTGTCTCTTTCATTCACACGGAACCAGACAGAGAAGCGTACACAACACACAAGACACGTCGTAAGCGACGCGCGCGTGCACACTCATAGCTGCCGTTCGTTCCTCGTGTGTTTTATATGCTTCTCTGTCTGGTTCCGTGTGAATGAAAGAGACAAACACTGTGCGCGAGAATCGATACATGAACGAGCGCGCGTCACAGCGAATATGCACGCAAGCAACAGCTGCTGTCGAACAGATCTGTTCACCAGCAGCAAATATATATGCAGCAGTTTCAATGCTCTGCAATTTTGTAATGACTTTTATAACAATTTTTCTTTTAAATTAAATTTTCAGTGCAATTTTGGTTGATTTTTCAATTGGTTTCCTCCATCGTTTGATGGATCCATTCCAATGCACTTCGGATTTGTTGAAGTTGTGATCGAATAAGGAAACTGGATAAAAGCAAGTATTCGGTATGCGTGCGATTCGATTCGATGTTTCGTAGGCCAAATTTGTCGTTTGTATCGCGGTTACCCGATAAAGTTCCACCGAGCCGAGCTTCGTATAGAACTTTTGTGGTTAATGACAACAGCCACTGTAGAATTTCCGGATTATTTACGGTTACCGTTGGTTTAAGCCATGATGATGGCGCCCATAAGAACAGTTGCATTACATTTGCTGCGATATCAGGTGATAGCCGATGGTTTGGATTGCGATGTAGGATGTTTGTTATTAATTTACGAACAATTAAGGGCACATTTTCATTCAAGGACGGCAGCTGTTCGTCTTGATATTTGGCGCTCTTCAAAATCGGTTGAAGTGGTGATTCAGTCGATTCGTCCTTCGATTGACCATAAAATGGGTTTATCGAATCGAAGATTTCGTATGCAATAGCGCCACAGGCCCATAGATCTGACTTTGAATAGTTCAACATGGAAAATGTACCAGGTGTTTTGGTTATTATCTCGGGTGGCATTAGCGCAGTGTTACCTCCTTTATCAATGTCCATCGATGTGTATGGTACAGTCAATCCGTTGTTTTTATCAGCAAGGCAACAACCAAAATCAGATAAGACTAAAATCGGATGCACATCATTACCATTGAGATCAATGAGAATGTTGTCACTTTTCAGATCTCGATGCGCGACACCATGTCGATATAAATGCGCAACACCCTCTAATAACTGTGCAAACAATAGTAGTCGCGTTCGCATCGAAATATCATGTGATGACTTTAAGTACTCGCACAAACTGTATTCGTATCGTTTCATCAGCAAAAAAAGGCTCATATTACGGCCGTAGCCTTGAGGATTTAACCGTTGTGGCAATGCCATTGGATACAGCGAAGAAGACTGCATCAAATTTGGCACCTGTGCGCAAAATACGCCCACCATCAACACGATATTTGGATGCGGTGGCAACTGTACCGTTTGCTCCATCAACTGTTTCTCCCACCCATCTGCATCGGCATTGGAATATTTTTTCATCGCCGGTATGGTTTCCTTGTACATTGCACGCAGAATGGCCATTGCATTGCTTTGAATGTCATAATTAAACATCATTTTCAATGCCAATGGATATGTTTCGATATCGTTACCTTTCTCATCGTTGAAGCTAATCGTCGAAGAGCTTTCGTTTGAATTTCGTTCGCTGTTGGCATCGTGCCGACTTGAATTCGAGTTGCTTTGGTATTTCACATCTGGTTTCGAATTGAATAGAACCTTTCGATGTGGTTTTGTTTCACGTGCTTGGTTGACATTTGTTGTGTTTGGATTGCGGTTCAAAAAGTGTGGATTTTCCAAACTGGAGCCAAAATTGTGCACATATCTATTCACATCACGCATGGGAGATAGGTCATTATCGGTTGATACATTGCTCGATTCATCAGAGTCATAGTCGGGCACTTTGAGTGGACTGGCTTCGGTTCGGTTGTCTTTAAACGCAGCCGCATAAACCACAGCCGAACATCCTTTAGCAATGGGAGCTCCAACAATCAAATCATCCAATTCAAGTTCATTTTTGTCTTTTACATTTCCCCGTCCAAATTTCGATGTGTCATGCAAACGAGACACAGCTTCCTTTAATCAGAAAAAAAGGTTGTAATAATTTTAGAGAATAATTCGAAAAACGTTCAATAAAATCGATGGCCTTACTCTAATTTCCCAGCAAACACCTTCCAATTCGTCATCTTTCGTTATAATACCATTTCCAGATGCCAAACAAATACCAATTAACGCAAATAATGGAACTGAATCGCCAAAAAGAAACCTAAACCATACAATTCACAGTTGAAATCAATTCAATTATTCACATTTACACGGCTTTAAAATGGGAACACTCACTTTTTTGTTGCTTCATTTCTTAAATCAGCTGAATAAATTGGTGTGATTCGATTGAGTATGTTATCAACAAATAAGCGTCGAGCATGCTGTCCGAAACGAATAAGTGTATTGTTTCGCAGAGCCCACTGGTTTGAATTTGCGATTCCTTCCTATTAGAGCGAAATTAAAAGAAAAAACCAGATTCAAAGTTGCTAATTAGGCATATATTCTTGAACTCGCAATGTCAAAACGTAAAACTACATCACGTTTATTTTTGAGTATTACGTAAACACTTGTTGGGACGACACTCAATCAATTTTTTTTTGTCATCGAAATAATTAAACTATTTTACGGATCGCACAAATTGTCTACACTTACCTTAGCTGCGAGGCCAATTTGACGGGTGAAACCACGGTTTTTCTTTGGGTCCAAAATGTTTATGTGAATGTTTCTCTTAATGCATTGATTGTATACGAGTTGCCGACCATGTTGAAATAGTCGATGCCCTAAAAGTCTAAATGACATATCCGTCTAGAGCCTTCGAATACGCGACAAAAACAAAAACTTAAGATAATCACACGCGTTGATTTCTTTCTTAGCACACGTTTCGATTAGTTTTTCTCCAATAAAAGAAAACTGCCCGTTGATGGGTCAAATTCCAATGTAAAAAAAGGCGAATTCAATCCGTTGCAAAAACTATGTTTACTCTTTGCACCATGAGAAATAATATTGCGTTGTTCTTTATTTGTTGCTCGTTAGGTTTCATTGTCATTTGACATTTTACATGTTTCTATTGTTGATCTGTCAACCGCATTTGTTTTGACATTTCACAGCGCTGCACTCAGTCGGTCCGTTTGTCTGAGTAAAATCTGTGCACAACCAACAAAATTGAATAGCATTCAGAAAAAACAATGAGTCGAATTGGTTTGTTTGTTAAAGAGGCCAGAAAATGGCTAAACTTAAAAGATCCCGTAGTTTTTGTGCTCGGCAATGAAAGTTGCGATTTGGATTCAGCCGTGTGTGCTGTAAGCTTAGCATACTTTTATATGAATACAAACAAACTGCCAGATCATCTGTTGATCGACGGAAAGTGCCGATTTTTACCTATGATGAACATTCATCGAACAAATCTTCCGCTCAAAACTGAAGTGACCTATTTCATGCGCAAACACGGCATTGACATTGATGACTTGGTTTGCAAGTGAGTTTAATATCGAGATTTTCTTTATCATTTCGGCTTTTTAAATCTATTGATTTCTGATTATTTTTTTCTAAATAGCAACGAAGTGTCGCATGACTTATTGAATGTGTCCAAATTCATATTGGTTGATCATCACATCGCTACACCCATAACCGCCAGTGATAGAGTCATTCAAATCTTTGACCATCGGCCATTAGATGCGAAAAATGCCCACATCCCGAATGAATGTAAATCGAAAATTCAAGAAGTTGGTTCGTGTGCCACATTAATAGCTGATGAAATTCGTGCGCTAGAGGGCTCGTTCGAGGAACACGAATATTTGGTCAGCTTTTTAAGAGGACCAATCGTTTTAGACACCATTAATTTTTCTGAATCAGCCGATAAAGCCAGACCACTTGACATTGAAATCAATGGAGAAATCGAAAAATCACTAGATTCGAACGAAGAGGATCGTTTGAAGCTATTCAAGGATTTGGTAAAAGCACGTAGTGACGTTAGTTCATTATCAGCTCTACAACTTTTGTCGAAGGATTTGAAAGTAATTTCAAATAGCGATAAATCGTATGTGGTAGCCATTCCTGGATTTCCAGTTTTAGTCGAGGTGGCTTTTTTTACAATTTCAATGATAAAATTTTTCAAAATTTGAAAAAAACTAAAAAGATATTTGCTGTTTTACAGGACTACGTTAAAAAACAAAATGCGTTGGAAAGTTTGCGGCAATTTGGCAAGGAACGAAACTGTGATATTTTAGTGCTAATGGGAATGAAGGAGCTCGAAACCGGTGGTATTCGGAGAGATATTGGATTGTTACCATTGCGCGACACTGAACAAACAAATAAAGTGATCAACGTGCTATGCATCACGAATAGAGAATACTTGGGGCTTACAAATAAAACTTGTGATCTATTACAAGGCCGACTATTCGAACAACAAAATGTAAAGGCTTCACGCAAACAAATCTTACCGATCGTTCAAAATGTATTGGATGAGAACTAAAAAGAGATCTGCATTCTGAATCCTGTGACAAAACACAATTAAAAAAAAATGAAAATTCAACAAGAAAAAAACTCGAGCAATTTCAGTTGATTTACTTTTATTTCCACAATTCCCAAAAAACTGTACATTGGCAGGAGCAAAAAAACTGGTACAGATTGAAATTTGTGAACTATCATTAAAATTCAATTTCAGGACAAATGTCACGCCATGAATATTGCGTGTTCCCTACAGTAGCATATTGACATCAATGTCATGTGCAATGATATCAAGTAATTTGTATCGTTTCATCAACTCTTCATTTGGCGGAAAATATTTAAAAAAAACAGTGCATCGTATTTCATAAAATCAGTATAAATCCAAGTTAATTGTTTTTCTTAGCACCGCCAAAACCGGCAAATCCCATAAGAGCAGCCATATCGCTGGGCACACCACTTGATTCTTCGTCCAAATCATCGTCAGCTTTTCGTTTGCGCTCTTTTCGCTTCTCTTTTTTGTACTCTTTGTATCGGTCTTCTTCTTCCTTTGCTTCGCGCACTTTCACATCCAAATCATAGTCTTTTTGCTTTTCTTCCATTTTCTTTTTGTTTCGTTGGAATCGTTCTTTTACTTGGTCTAGAGAAGAACGCTCAACCTTCATTGACATTCCCAAATTACGTTGATGCTTTTTCCCGTTGATGTGATCGAGAAAGTTGATGGAATCTTTCACCACACAATCGCACACATTACAATAGTAGCCACCGGATTGTGATGACGGCGTGGTTTTACTGATGACCACACTCTTTCCCAGCTTACTATCCAAATCAACTTTGTAGTCCCGTCTTTTCAATAGCTCGCGCGATACCGGTGCATCGTCTGATTTATCTTCTTCATCGTCTTCTTTTACCCTGAGACGGTCTTGAGCCTTGCGCTCATACTCTTTTCGATCCCACTTTCGACGGTGATCATCTGGACGCATCGACATGGCTGGATTTTTTGTTGTTGTTGCTAAAACTAAAAACACTAAAATTCGAATGAATTATGCAGGAAAAGTGATTGAACGTATGTTTAGTCTTACCTTATTTACTTGTAAATGTAATTGAGTGTACTTTAAATAGAATTCCTGGTCCTTCTTTGTGATTTTTGTTACTATTTTGGTCGATGTAGTCTTCTATTTATTGTTTAATTTTTGACGTTCATGTGTCAAGCTTTATATCTCTTATGCACTGCACAGTGAAGTTGTGCACATTACATACATCCCTATTGGTAAAATTCTGTAATTCCCGATAACTCCTTCTTTGAATATACTAAAGCAGAGAGATGAAAATGCTTAAAATATTCAAACTATATTTTGGTGCTCATTCGTTTTAAATTCGAAAATCATACAATTTCAACGAAATTTCGTCTACAACCCAATGATAAAATGAGCAAATATGAATGTCTTTGTATATATAGCTGTTGACACATCTGTCATTGTTGCTCACTTCCATTATGAGATAACACAATTGAAAAATATAAACAAAGACATAGTCATATGATTCGCTTTCGTGAATTACGAATTGAATGGTCAAAGTGCGTATAAACTGTTTAATCAAAGTTGAGGGCTTGATTGAATTAAAAAGATGAGAGAGATAAATTGTGTAGTATTTTTGCTACTTTTCACATCAATTAACGGTGAATTATCAAAAGTATTTGATTTTCAACCACAACAAGTTCATATTGCGTTTGGAGGTGAGTGTCTTCTGAAAATTTTCAACGCTGTTCATGATGTAACTTAGATTTGTCTTCTAAAAAATAGATTCGTCTTCTAATCAACATTCAGAATGTTAATAAATAATTTTCATTGAAATCTTTCCTTAGAAAATGTTCGTGAAATAGTTGTGATATGGTCTACAATGGATGACATAGATGAGTCCATTGTAAAATATTCTTTAAATGGCGAGCAATTTAAAGCAATGGGTGACTCTCATCTTTTTGTTGACGGTGGCGAAAAAAAACACCGTCAATACATTCACAAGGTATGTTTTATTCAACAAGTCATTTAATTCTAATCATATTCAGTTGTCGATAAATGCATATCAATCGTCCATTCCATTTCAAAGGTAAAGTTGACGAATTTGAAATCCAATTCGCATTATGTTTATCACTGTGGAAGTGAGTTAGGTTGGTCCGACGAATTTTGGTTCGAAACATCGCCAGCAGATGAAAACAACTGGGCACCACAGTTGGCTATCTTTGGCGATATGGGAAATGAGAATGCTCAGTCATTAGCTCGCCTCCAAGAGGAATCACAACAGCATCTGTATGATGCCATCTTTCACGTTGGAGATTTTGCGTACGATATGGATTCAGAAAATGCCAAAGTTGGCGATCAATACATGAGACAAATAGAATCAATAGCCGCATATGTACCTTATATGGTGTGCGCTGGAAATCATGAAGAGAAATAGTAAGCCGATTGATTTCGATTTCGTTTTCGATTTCCACAATTAAAATTCATATTTACTTTCAGCAACTTTTCAAACTATCGCAATCGCTTCCAAATGCCTGGCAATAGTGAGAGTTTGTACTATAGCTTCAACATGGGCCCAGTGCATTTTATTGCCATTTCAACCGAATCCTACTACTTTCTGAACTATGGCATCAAACAGTTATCGAACCAGTACCAATGGCTGGTGGATGATTTGCGTGAGGCAAATAAGCCCGAAAATCGTAAACTACGGCCATGGATTGTTACATTCGGCCATCGTCCGATGTATTGCAGCAATGACGACGTCAAAGCCTGCAAAGAAATGACCACATTCGTTCGAAACGGATTGCCACTCACGCATTTGTATGGATTGGAAGATCTGTTTAAAGATCAAGGCGTTGATGTCACTTTTTGGGCACATCAACATTCCTATGAACGACTATGGCCCATTTATAACTTTGAAGTCAAAAATGGATCGATCGAAGAACCATACCGAAATGCCAAAGCACCCATACACATCATTACTGGGTCGGCTGGATGCAAGGAGGAACATGCCAAATTCAAGAAAGATAAGCCCGAATGGAGCGCCTTCCGTACTGAAGTATGTATCTTTTCCCTCGACATTTTGAGTTTTCACAATTTGCAAAAACCAAATTGAATAGCACTTTCAAATATTCAGCATTCAACAATTCTTGTGTTTTTTCAGGACTATGGTTACACCCGAATGAAGGCATTCAACAAAACACATTTGTATTTTGAACAAGTTTCCGATGAGCAAAATGGTCAAGTCATTGATTCATTTTGGGTCGTAAAAGACCAAACCGTGCCCAGTTATGCCAATTTAAATGAAATTTACTAAATCAACATTTGCATCTGCAAGTTACCGAACTGAAACTATTTTCTACGTTTTAGCACAGATAAGGCCATGAAAGTTCGACGTTGTCTCTCTATGAATAAACATGTAAATTACGATACATTTTAATGATCTAGTTGTAATACATTTTTCAAAGGGATTTTCAAAACGATCAAATTTTGAAGTCAATCAATGTCAACAAATGAGAAATTTTCAATAAAAAATATTTTTCAAACTAATGTCGACAACATTCTCTTGAATTTCTTTGTTTTTCGTGAATAAAACAGATGTTTTGACACAGTGAGAATGCTCCGTATTAAAACAACTTCAATGTTCCCCTATTGATAAAGTCATGCCATTATTAGTGTACTAATAATCGAAACTTCAGTGCACAACTTACTTTGAACAATTTGCTTTAATTTGTATTATTTCTTGAGAAATAACAAAACCAAACGGAAAATTTCAATTTTTCCATGTTAAATAATTGAAATGAATTATTAAATCTTTTTAATAAAAATATAAACGGCAAAAATGCTGCATCGGAATTTTTCGCAACGGCCAAAATTAAATCTAGAGCAAATTGTGTTGCCATCGCTGTCAATTGTGTGTCCCGTTTGTTTTTATTGATTTTTCCAATTGCGACTGATTATTGAGATACATCTTGTCAAAATAGTAATTGATGTAAAGTATAAAATTGATACAAGCGAAAAATAATCGTAAGAACGTGACAATAAACATGACGGACACACAAAATCAGTCGAATAATGACAAAATTGCGGCGTTAACCAAAGAAGCCGAGAACTTAAAGTTGAAATTGGAGGAAGAGCGACAAAAATTGAACGATGTTTCGCGTAAGTGTAAAATCTGTGTCACAAACAGCGCCACATTAGCTTCAGCCCATTTGTTTTGATTTTTCGTTGCATGTCTAATTTTCGTTTTGATTTTGACTAATATTTGGCTCTTTTCCGTTTCCAGTATCATCGGTTGCAGAACGTTTGGAAATGATCACATTTATAAACATCAAACCGCGACGTGTGCTGAAGGGTCATCAGGCAAAGGTGCTATGCTCCGATTGG